GTATCGCTGGTTTAGTAACATCGTTTGGAATGTACGGTATGCAAATTCGACGAGATTTGTGTAACAAGTGGCTGGCCGTCACCACGTCACTTTCACCGCGAAGGACTCGCCCGAGATTCGGATTCGCACGTCCCAATTGCTCGCTCGAGATGTCCTTGTCATCTAAACAATCTGCTAAGTAATTTGCAACAGGTCCGACGAAAAAGGGCTTACCATCTTGGCTCTCCCAGAGACAGCGGCGGATAAATCTCTGCCGTAGTGAATGCGCGATATGCACTTTCGAACGCAATCCCCTCCACTCACGCGCCTGGTCAATAAAGCTATCATGTTATGTCGAAGACTCGTTTTCTGCGTCTTGGATTCCTCGGTACTCGCGATATCGTAATCATGCAGATGCGATAAACGGCTTGTTTTTTCCTTTTTTTTCGGAGCGCGTTGAGAAAGACCAACTATAATTTCTAAGCGATTCCCTAACCTCTCGTTCCGTTGGATCCTGCCTTGTCCCGTGAAATCAAGGTCAAGGTCGTGGGAAATATTGATAAATACTTGAAAGGCACAAATGTTTATAAAAACAGTTCAACCTGATCTCTCTCTCTCGTCCAACACATGTCGCGCGACAAGTATATCTCTCGATATTTTTACTCGTGTCGTACAATTAACAGTGCAACTTCAATTGACTGCACTCCTCAACCGAGGAGTGCAATCGTTTCTTGACCAATATCTTGTTAACATGACGAGATTGGCCAAACGAACGATATGAGATCAATAACAATTGTGTGAAAAGATTACTTGAAAAGGGTCCAAATCCGGGACCAAAACGTCGTTTGTTTTCCAAATAAAAACATTGGCCAGTGTAGCTCGTTTTTTAAAAACTATAACATATCTTTGGTTTTATATTACTGGCGATATTAAATCTATTTGTGATTCATATAAAACATTCCGAAAAACAAAGAAATAACGTCTCGAATACTGTTGTCTCCTAGTAGCATATTTTTATACATGAAATATCTCATTTATTTCATTTCAACAAGTGTGTACATGCACACATTATGTACATATATATTTATTGTGTACGCTTCATCCGCAATGTAGCGGATAAAACGTTTTCGAAATTTTTTCGGAGTATCCAAGACACAATTGACAAATTTTTTTATTAAATTTCATTAAATTATAAATTTTTATTAAATTATACTATAAGTCAAAAGAACGAAGGAAGATCTGTATCGGTATAATATGAAAACGTAACATTATTGTGGATATTTACATCTCATAAGACGTCAACATGAGCTTACAGCTGTACAAAATACATTACACAAAATTTTGTAGTTTTCTTTTTTTTAGTTTTAGTCGGAGGCTTGGAAAATTTAAAAAAATATATTGTCTAACGTTAAAAAAAATCTGTAGTTTAGCGACGTCATTGATTTGATTTCGCCGATTTCTTTCCTTTTTTTATCAGAGGAATCTGCGGTGGCAATGGAACTTTAAGCGTGATGATCTTCTTATCTTCCTTAGTGGGTACTGCTCCGATAATTTTTGCGAGGTCCGTCAACTTCTTTAGACTCGTTCGCGTTTCCAGCATAATTCGAAATTGCTCCAAATCGAGGCTGAAGTTCGATATCGTCAGTGTGAGAATCAGGCTGTGTATGAGGCCTTTGTCCTTTATGGTGTTCGGTCTCGTCCTGCAAGAAATTTTCTTCAATGTTCCGTCCGCGAGTGATGCAAGCGATTCTTACTCACCGTCCGTTCGCGCTGGACACGCTGTATGTGTCGATAATGTACTGATTTACTTCCTCGGAAAGCGGGCATACAACAACATCGCGTCTCTTTGCGTTCTTCATTGGCATGGCGAACCACGCATTAATCATTTCAACGTAGAGCAACAGGGCTACTTTGTTCACGTTGTCCGGTTCCGATTGTATACTTCTTAAAGTGCGTTTGAAAAAATGTCCCTTCCTACGCGACGAAAAAGACATGTATATAATAAGATTGCATACAAATGAAAAATACAGAATGCCAACACTGGTAAAGAGTGCCAAGTACCCTTCCACGTCTCCGTTGAGAACCTCCATTGCGTGTTCGTGTAACATTTCCAATTTACTCTTGGGAATAATATCATACACATTGTACACATCCTTCACGTTACTCGCGTTCCTGTTACACGCAGGCAGTAGTGTATTTGATATACAGTCCTCGGGTTGTAATTGAGTCGACAAATCTTGCCTGTCAATTTCAATATCTGCCGAGGGACATAACTTGGTGAGTTTTTGCGCACGATGCCGCAACATGTTATTGCATTAATATCTGCTTGGATATTATTTGGAAATTTAATTACATTCAATTACAACATAAAGAAAAGGAGCTTCTTACTCGACACAGTTTTCTCAAGTTGTTCCTTAACAGATTCAATGTTCACTTTCAGCTTCTCGTATTGCTCGGTTCTACGCTTGACTCTCTTTGATCCAAACTGCTTGTTGAGTATAGTCATCTTCTCAGTTATGTCATTGTTGCCGTCCCCGACGTCGGGTTTATCGAGTACTGGAGTCACTTGCCACCGTTCGGCCTCAAATAATCGCACTTTGCCGGTCCTCTTATTGTGGAGCACCAGCATCGTCCGTGTCGACTCCTTCTCGCAATCCGGCCTGTGACCTTTATAAACAACGTGTCCATTCGACAAGGCCAGCACAGTTTTGTCGTCCCTTTGGTCGCGGAACAAGCCACACGACATCTCCTTGACTTCTTCATCCTTAAGCTCACCATTTTGGAAGGTTACTGCACAACAAAGTTATGGATGAGATTCATTCGTTACGTTTAAGTTAATAAAAATTATTACGTACAAATAAACAACTGTGTGAGAAAACAATAAGGGGTAATTTTATGTATACATATATGCAATTTTTAATACATAAATATAAAATAGTATATGTATAGTAAATGTATAGTAAATAATAGAGTTTTAAATGTTGTTATCTTACCAAGAATTGGCTGAATTTTGTCTGACTGCGCAGTTACGTCTTCGATAACCGCTTTAAGTTTCATTTTTCATTTATTCGTGTGCTTTACCAGTACTAATTAATATAATAATTACTGATATACCTTGTACACTTGGTTCTCATGTATCAACCTACTTATCAAAACTGTTGCTCTTCGCGCGACACATGCAGGTTAGGATCGCGATGTGAGAAAATTAAGCACTGTTCATAGCGCGCGTTTTGTATCTGGTCGGCTGTTCGTGAAATGATGAACTTCTTACTTATGGCTGGAATGGTGATCGATTAGAGAAATTAGAAAATACAAAAATAATAAAAACTATGAAGTAAAGATTAGTTTGAAAAATGAAAATGTAAAATGTTATTTTAGATAAAGTGTTGTAAATAGAAAGGATGCAGTCCGATTGGCTACGCCATTGTTTTCGATGGAACAAAGTACGATTTATTACTTCAGCTAATAATTCATTTCGTGTTCACAGAAGATTTCAAAGACAAAAGAAAAAGTAACTGCAGGACTTCCAGGACAACTTTAACTAAATTTCGATTAATCGTCAATGTAGTGATTAATTCAATCAATCGGTAAAATTGTTTAAAGCCCGTATCAGACTACGGATTGAGATTGGATTAGATTGAAATTTGACCAATCAGAGTAAAGCCCGTATCAGACTACGGATTGGGATTGGGATTAGATTGAAACTTAACCAATCACAGTAAAGTTTACTAATCTCAAGTTCAGTAACTTTTACTCTGATTGGTCAAATTTCGATCTAATCCCAATCTCAATCTGTAGTCTGATACGGGCTTTACTCTGATTGGTCAAATTTCAATCTACTACCAATCTTAACCCGTAGTCCTGCTACGGGCTTAAAGCAGTAAATCCGTTTTCCATACATTAAACAGCAAAACCTTGAAAAGTAAATAAATATAAGCTATCTTTATTTCGTAATTACATAAGAAATAAATTTATTTTATAAAAAACTTCTTTTTAATAAAATGTACGAAATAAGTTTTATTTCGCGTTAAAAAAATATCCTTCGATATGTTGCAGATCACGAAAGTTTGATTTGGAAAACACAATATGAAATTACAAAATAGAAATTGTTTTTTTTAATGGAACGCTAAGAAGTAAAATAGTTAAAACTCTAGCAAAAAGTAAAGGTTTTCTATTATACATACGTATATCGGCCGATTATAGCAATTAATAATTTTCGGGTGCAGATTAATAATACAGAAAAATATTTTATTATGTATGTACATGTTAATCGAATCTATCGATTTCTGATGGTCTTAAATATCGATACAGCTATTATATTATTACTTCCCTAATTGCGTGTTATCCCATTACATAGCTGTTATGTTATGAATAATACATATAATCATACATTTCTATTAGATATTTTATATAAACATAAAAGACACTTATAAGAAAATAATAACTGTAAAAGTAAGTTTTATATATAATTTTAAGACTTGGAAAATACAAGATAATATAATATAATGCTCGCTTCCTTGAAATTAGTATTAAAATTTAAATTGCTATACTTAAAATTATATTTTCTCTTGTAAATAACAAATGTGCGTAAAAAATATACATTAAAGAATATAAAGGTGAGATGTGAGGTTAAATGTTGAGATTAAATATCATAAATAATTTTGAATATAATTTAAAAAATGAGAGAACAACCACTCGTGTGTTTATTTGCAGCTTTGAACTTTTTCAGGTCTTCTAGAATATTTAAGTATATGCAATAAAAATCCATTTTCTACACTACTCAATTATCAAATCATATTCCTCGATTTCTTGAAAGGTATTATTAATCGTTTTCACCCATTCGTTTATTCTCTTATCCTGTTCCTTTTTGGATTTTGTGAGCTTCTTTTTTTTAGTACATGGTTGGACATCATCTTCTTCCTTCTCTTCACTGTTTTCTTCTAAAAGATCAAACTTGACAGCACGTTTTCTCCCGTAGGAATACCGGGGCGGCTGTAAAATTTTAAATAAACATAATTAATCAATGATACGTGATACATATACATATGTACAAACATGCAAAAATTTATTATGATAATAATAAACACCTCTGAAAAACGTGTGGGCTCTAAATCCACAAATAAGGGATTATCATTTCCAACGTTTGATAATCTCTCAGTTTCGGACAAGACATCAAATGTATCGGAAAAGGTGTTTGAGTGCGCAAGTTTATTCGTTTCCTCCACGTGTAATTCAGCGATTTCAGTATGGGTTTGATCTGCCGCGTGTTTTTTATCTCCGTTAACATTTAGTCTTTGTAATAAATTCTTGATTTCCCCTAGGGACACTCTGGCAGGTACTGGTTGTGCAACAGACTTGCTTGCAACTGCCGCTCGAATTTTCTTCGGAGCCTGATTCTCTGAATTCGGTAATTTCCTCTGAATTACACGCTTCTTGCGCAGACCGGTCTTTTTTCTTTCGTTATCTTTTCCGTTCTTATTTTCCTTATTCGTATCCATATTTTCCTTATCCATTTCCATGTTCTCCTTATCCGTTTCCACGCTCTTTTTATTTATTTCTTTATTTTCTTTGTGCGTTTCACAATTCTTGTACGGCGTACTCTGAATAAAGTGTTTAGTGCGAGAAAACATTAATGTTGATGGTCGCCAAGGACTCGCATGGCCCAAGGTACTTGCAGATCCCATCTTCAGGATGGGAGACAAAGTTTTCGTTAATAAGGAACCTTTCAATGTACTGTTGCATTCCATTAACGGCGTCTTATTATCAAATATATTACTTGCCCGAAAGGGCTGTGAATCTGGTTCAGTATTAGGTGCAGATGCAACAACTCTTATATTATTTGCATTTTCAATAGACACAATTTTTGGCTTGTTTATGTCTTTCTTTTTAACGTTTTCCAATTTTCTGTCAGATAGTCCCGAAGTTGTTTCTTCTACAGCTCCAACATTGGTTGTATCTGCCCTTGAAGTCTCCACGATTTCCACGATACTTTCTGCCGATTCTTCTACCGTCTGAATTTCTATTCTCGGTGGTTCAATCTCTTCTCCAATATCTTTGTTTGCCGATTTCTTTTGCGCCTGAACATCTGCTTTCAACGTTTCAATTTTCTTCGTGATATTTTCTTTTGTTACTAAAGGAGGATCGTTCTGCACGATCTTTACAGAAAGACTCGCATCAGGCTCAGGCAATTTAATTGTCTCACAACCAGTTGCTTTTGACTTTGTAACCTTCTTACGCGTTGTTTTCTTCACTTTGCCTGTCCCTCTGTTTTTCTTTTTCTTGGTAGCTTTCTCCCTCTCATCATTAATGTCAAACTTATAGTCATACACGTCATCTTCTGAACTTTTCTCAGAAACGTGCATGGTTTTGTACACAGGCACCTTTCTGCTAGCTTTTAAATCCAGCTTCTCCACCATTACCAGACTGTCGCGTTGCTTCGGCGAAATGTGCTGCTGCAACAACTTGGAGTCCTCGCAGTAGTTTTTTCTATTTCGACGGGGACGTAAACGTATCGGTGACGCTTGACTGATTTTCGGAGGAGATACACTTCTCTTAGGCGCCTCTAAACTTTCGTCCTTTGTACTAACGTCAACCTTCTTTAAGTTTCTGTTGACAACTTTTTTAGGTTGGACCTTCCTTGCAGGTACAGTTCTCACCGACGAGACCACTTGGCGAGATCTCAGACGAGTAATACGTTTGGATGTTGCAGACATTATGCTTGGATTTCCACTGAATCTGGAAATACATTTATACATATGTAGATTAATTTTAGAGACTAGATACGTAGACGGCCGTGAGTTTCAAAGGTTGATCGCGACGTTACCTTCGACGCGGGAAACATCCGACGTATACCAACTTACCTTCGATTACGGTGGACGGGAATTGCCCCAGTTAACGAGCATTCAATCGCGGAAATTCAACGAACGTACGTGACGGCCGACGACGCGTTATCGCGCAAATCCGCATCGCACAGTTCGCCCTTTCAGTAACATTCAGCAAAATCCACAAATTTGTCGATCGCCACAGCAACGTAACTGTCGCACAAAATGTCGGCGACACGACTGCCAACCCATGGTTTGTCAACATTGCACTTTGCAGGCGTGCCAACGTAACCGCCTTGACGAAGTAATGGCGAGTTCATACCGCCCGGGAGCGAATATAGTTGTGAGTTCCCCTTCGAGAAAGGCAAACTCTGAACTAGTGCAGCCAGTTGAGCTGAAAAGAACAGACCCGTAGTCGCCTCGTTATCGTCCCGAGGTGGTTCCGGGCTTCGTATGTTTATAGATATTTATAAAATTTTATAATCTTTTTGTGCACAGAATTGATATATCGCGAGACACGAACAAGTTGGAGCCAGTGCGATTCGACGTCGAGCTGGCTAGCGTCAGATTTTGCCTGGTTAATTTCATCTTTCTTAACCTAAAATTAACCTAAAATAATCGAGAGATGGCCGACGAGAAGTCCGTGATGCAGGAATTTAAGTTGGATCCGGATTGCGAATTGAGGTTCGAGGTGGAGAGCAAGAATGAAAAGGTCACGCTGGAGGTAATGAGACGCTTTCTCTCGCACCAATGTATGTTATTTCGTTATTACACGACACTTTTTGTTATTGTAGTTGAAGAACGGCCTGGCGGAAGTTTTTGGCACGGAATTGGTGAAGGGGAAAAAGTATGAGTTCACCGCTGGCGCCAAAGTCGCGGTTTACACCTGGCAAGGTTGTACCGTTGAATTAGTTGGCAAGACGGACGTCAGCTACGTGGCGAAGGAAACGCCTATGGGCCTGTACTTGAATTGCCACGCGGCGATGGAGCAGATGAGAGAGACCGCGGAGAAGGACGACACCAGAGGTCCAATAACAATGGTCGTGGGTCCTTGCGACGTCGGCAAGTCTACGCTTTGTAGAATACTGTTGAACTACGCCGTTAGAATGGGCAGGAGACCGATCTTCGTCGACCTCGACGTTGGTCAGGGACACATAGCGATTCCCGGCACCGTCGGTGCTTTACTGGTGGAACGACCGTCCAACATAGTGGAAGGTTTCAGCCAGCAGGCTCCATTGGTCTTCCATTTCGGGCACAAAACGCCACAAGTTAACGTAACATTGTACAATTTACTTGTCACGCGTTTAGCGGAGGTTTGCGCAGACAGACTGCAAGCCAATAAGAAGGCTAAAGCGTCTGGAATTGTCATTAACACATGCGGCTGGGTCAAAGGGGACGGCTACAAGTTACTCACGCATGCCGCCCAGGCGTTTGAGGTCGACGCGATTCTCGTGTTGGACCAGGAGAGGCTGTACAATGAATTGGTGAGAGATATGCCGGATTTCGTAAAGGTGGTCTTTCTGCCGAAGAGCGGCGGCGTCGTGGAGAGGAGCCAGGCACAGAGAACCGAAGCGCGAGATCAGGGCGTTAGGGAATATTTCTACGGTTCTCGGACTCCGCTGTATCCACATAGCTTCGAGGTCAAGTGGAGCGAGGCGAGATTATACAAGATTGGGGCGCCCGTCTTACCGGCGTCTTGTATGCCGCTGGGCATGAAAGCGGAGGATAACCTGACAAAATTGGTGGCCGTTGCGCCAGGACCCAGTTTGCTGCATCACCTACTGTCGGTTTCCTTTGCAGACTCTCCCGAGGACGACGTCGTGCAGACTAATGTAGCCGGATTCGTCTGCGTGTTAGTATATTCGACCAATATTTTCAGTATTTATAGCTAACGGACATTCTTTCTTCTCATGAAAACTCTTTTACATTTACAGGACCAACGTGGACGTCGAGAGACAGACGTTCACGGTACTTAGCCCGCAACCTAGACCGTTACCGAATACAGTGCTATTATTGTCGGATATACAATTTATGGATAGCCATTAAATGTAGACTTTTTTTATTGTTAGATTAGGCCCTGTAAATATTGTAAGAGTAAACAGCGAGGTAATATCTTTTCTATCGAAATTTATATATTTATACCCGGCGCTCACATGGTACAAGTTTTGATAGACCCTAACATGCGAGTATAAATCATGTGACATTTTATAAATGGAAGATTTGTATTATTTAAATATCTGTATCTGTGTTATACTCGAGCGATAACTAACAAATACAGAATCAAAGAAATTATAGTATCGGCAATTTCTTCCCTCTTTTTAATTCCGTATCACGATAGCTGTATACGTAGAGCATATCACCTGTTATGTAAACCAATATGACGACTCATTGGTATAGACTGTTCTTATCATAAACATAATATATCTAGACCGAGCATTGAGCAGTGGGGGTAGAGGTTTACTTAGAAAAGGACAAAGGGCCATCGCACACAAAATTGAAAAACCGTTTAAACCAATGGGCATCAAGCCGCTACATGATTTACATGTTTATTGGTCTAATAGAGAGTTAAGATGTTTCATTTTTAGTTGGCATTATTGTTATCGTTACACTGTAAACATAGTCAGTGAGAAGAGTGTCATCAGGACAATGATCGGTATCTGTGAACAACTTTTCCGCGTATCCTCTTCAATGTCGACGCGCACTTTACCGAGTTTGGACGCTAACATCCCTTTCAAGAAGAAGAAGAAATAGAGTTTGGTCCGATCGTCTGCGATAATGAGATTAACGGCGTGATCCAACCAACGAAACAGAGAGAAAGAGCGAGAATAAAGCATATATTGATCTTCGGAGAAACGCGTGAAATCAGGTTTGCCGGCTTCACCAGTTCACATAGGATGTGAGATCCACATATCTGTATACTAGGTCCATGATTGATGCAGATCTATAGACTAATTTTCATTATAATTTAACTCGAACAAAACGAGGTGATCTTATAATGTATATGAACACATCAACTATAGACGATTATGCAGTAATAAAAGTGTTATGAAGATTATCAGCATTAAAAGTACTGCCATGAGTATTTTTTTGTAAAGTTGCATCACCGACTACAGGAGGCTTAAATAATATTGAAATTACTGTAGAATAAACTACAGTTGTCACATGTACAACATTGAACAAATTAAAATGCATTAATTTTTTTAAATAATAAATTATCCATGTTATATACAAAAAGTGATACATACATTTATTAATTACATATTTAAAATTTACACTCACATTTCAGTTCGATAGAAGAAGAGCAGTTACGGATTTTGACGATATGGATTTATAGCTTCTCTTCTTCCTCGTGTATTAAGCTTAAAATCTGTTTTATCCAGTTTTGGTACTCCGAGCATTTGGTTTTACTTCATCTTCGGTAGGCTGCTGTAACCTTGCCGAAGGAAACCTCCAACCTGGAGGACTACCTCTAAAGGGGTACGTGTGACAGGATACTCTCGGTGGTTGCCACTTCCTTCCGAGAGGTGGCGTCCGATAAAACCAGCAGTGTTCGCGGCATATATTTAAAAGATGCACGGAATTAATTTTTGATATTTTTTATGTTGTATTATACATATGTGTCATAGTGATAAAAATGGTAATATATCTTCGTTGTATCTTGTAATTTTTGTTCTTAATAATCAATAGCATAATTCTATAGTATCACAAGGAATCCATTTGGAGCTTTCCAAAGCATCCCATAAGTTATAATCTTGTTCAATTATTTCTCGGTTCGCTTTATCGATGTCAATGGGGATTGAATGCTCTATAAAAAAAAAAAAGAGGATATAAAGCAATAGATCAAGATTCAATGAACAAAATATGATACATATTTATCATAAGCAAATAAATAACATACCAATCAATTCTAAATCATCTTCCTCGGGTTTCTGATCAGATACGTAACTATTATAAGCATCTGATGTCGGTTCGCTTTCGTAGTAACCTTGTTGCCAAGCACTGTAACTATTCCAGTACGACGATGTATCGTAGTAATTGTACGCCTCTGAATTCATATTTGATGCCGCATACTCGGAAGTTGATTGTGGCGGCGTCGAACTAAAATTATTAATTAAAAATTAACTGTAAGATTATTAATTAAATACAGATATCTATCTCTCTGCTTGCGGTATAATATTGAGAGAGAATGCCGCTTACATAACGGCTAGAAAAAAAAAGAATTTATTCTCTTTACACACTTATTGTTTATAGCATTTAATATCAAGGCATACCCAGACATTTTATTCCAAGGTCTAGGTACGGCATTGCAGATTTTGAGGGATTTCGTTCCAAGTCCTCTGTAACCATTCATAGTGATAAGACTGTTTTTCTGCTCCTCCTCGTTCGCGAATCTAACGAAGCCGTAGCCCTTGCTGAATCCGGAGCTGTCCAATATAACCTTCGCCGTCCTGATTGAGTTATATTTTGCGGCGAAAGCTCTGTATAAGGAGTAATCGTCTACGTCAGTGGAGAGATCGCCTACCCAAATACTGAATTCTCGTTCGGCGGCAGGTTTCCCTGTGGTACTGGCGTGATTTAATCGGAATCTTACTGGCTACAAAACACATCAATCAACAGTGATTAGCCCATTGCAAGAGCAACGCTCATTTGAATTTTGTTATCAAACAAACTTGCCTAGGCACATAACATGCATAAAGTACAATGTCCACGATGCTAGAACTTGATCCAAGTTCTAGCTCTCTGGTGATAGCATCGTGGACATTGGGCTTAATGCGCGGTCTACAATGCGAGTCGCAGAGTCGTAGTCGTAAGAATAATCGACTGCGATTGGTCAATTTCGTCAGACACATAAGAATTGACCAATCATAGTCGACTATTGTTACGACTACGACTTTACGACTTCTATGTAGACGAGGCTTCAGGAATCTGATTGGTCCTTAAGTATATACCATAAAGCCCGTATCAGACTACGGATTGAGATTGAGATTAGATTGAAATTTAACCAATCACAGTAAAGTTTACTAAGCTCAAGTTCAGTAACTTTTACTCTGATTGGTCAAATTTCAATCTAATCCCAATCTCAATCCGTAGTCTGATACGGGCTTTAAGGAAATAGACCAACAATTTCCAGTAATTATTTAATCTAGGGTTCTCACCTCCGATGTCGATGTATGTAGGCTTATTCGGCGCGTTTTTCAACGAGAAACAACTTTTTCCTCAGACAAAATCGTCGCTCTTGTCTCGCGAAGCGAGATATTCAGCGTTAAAGTTGTTAACTGATCTGGTTAGGAAACCAATCACACCGGCGATATGCATCGACTATTCTCTGCTTTAATAAAATTCTTCGGTGATTAATTCTAATGCATAGACTCATAAAGGAATTAGTGTATTTTATTACTAGAGCAGAGAATAGTCGCTGCATATCATCGGTGTGACAGGTTTCCTAACCTCATCAGTTAACAACTTTCACGCTTAATCGCTTCGCGAGACAGAGCGACGATTTTGCGTGAGGGAAAAGTTGTTTCTCGTTCAAAAACGCGTCGAATGAACCTACATACATAGACGTCGGAGGTGAAGACCCTAAACCAAACAATTATCTCATTTCCCGACCAGGATTTTGATTGGAAAAATATTCTATTAATAGAAGGCTAAAGCATGAATTTAATCCCGAGGCAATTGAAAAGCACGGTTGTCTCTCGGAGAATAAAAAACTTAACGGTAATCGACAACAATTGATAAAGTTTATAAGTTTGTCTCTCTGTGGTTGAAGCAAGGTTAAGCAAGGAGTTTTCTATCCATAAAAATTGCAATTAACGACACCGGGAGAAAGCCGAAATTCTACGTAGGACGTGTTTCTCTTTTTCTTCTTTTCAAAAAAATTGAAGATACCATCGATCGTTACTACTACGAAACTTTAATAATTATAGTCGGAGCACAAGCGTCCAAACCAGTCCAAACGTGTACTTACAAAGCATGCTGCACTATACTTACAGGATTTGAACCGGGTATGACTTTGCCGTTTAGTTTGTGCATGGCGTCGAGCGCCATTTCGTCCGTTGGAAAGTGTACGAAACAATATCCTGCTGGCTCGCCAGTATACCGATTCCGCATCACTTTTACAGTCTGTGGCTGTTCACCCATTTTGTGAAACGCGTTCATGATGAAGCTCTCCGTCATGTATGGCTCCAGCTGCAATGAAATTATTCATTCATGACGGCACTTACATCGGAACAATCCGTGTGTAGAGAAATGATTTATCCATCAAATTGTAAACAACATAAACGAATCTACTCACGCCACCCATCCACAACTGACACAGCACCATCGGCCCTGACATTTTGCTCGTTATTAGTGTAACAATTCTTGTAAATGTCTACCGACCTGACAATTTCACAGAGCTAACTGAGAAATGTACAATTAAACATTTTATCTTAGCACTGTTTTGTTATCTCTGGTGGATAACCAATTTTGCCAGTTAATCGCAGACATTAAACGTACACTTAAAGATACACTTGCGTTGCACCCCGCGACAATAGAGACCACGGTTTTACATATAAATATCCGTGGAACTGATATACACATACGAATATTTCGTTGAGCATAAACTGTAATTTCCGACATGAAAGACTGCGTTCCGAAACTTATCATAAACGGTCGGACAACCTTTCGGACCATGACCGTACACAAGGTGCGTTCTCACAGAACACGCTATTATGCAGGATTCACACGGGATCCGATATCCGACTGTCGGATAGCCAATATGATTGATTTATAAAACTTATTTTAAGAATTTTTACATTTTAATCAGTATTTCCAAGAAGAAACGCATTTAATTAAATATTTATTTACAAGATCATGAAAAATGAGCGATAAAAACAATATTTAAAGGCCATTTTAGGGATGACCTGCTCGTTCCGCTTATGTTCATTCCGCTCCATGTGACGGCACCCTGAAGCCTCCGCTACAATGATTCTCGGTTCTGTCTACAATGGTCGTAGTCGTAGTCGCTCGATAAGAATTGACCAATCGCAGTCGATTATTCTTATGACTACGACCATTGTAGACAGAACCGAGAATCATTGTAGCGGAGGCTTTAGTCCCAGTCTACAATAGATGATTTAAGCCCTAAGCTTTAAGAAATTGGCCAATCACGGTCAAGTATGAGTAGAATGCGCGACTGTGATTAGTCAATTTCTTAAGGCTTAGGGCTTAAATCTCTATTGTAGACTGGGACTTAAGGCCTGTGTCCACGGTGCTAGAACTTGGTCCAAGTTCTAGTTCCGAGAAATATGTAACCAATCAACTTGCAGCTATTCCATAAAAACTGCAAGTTGATTGGTTACACATTTCTCGGAACTAGAAGTTGGACGCAGTTGTAGTATCGTGGACACAGGCCTTTAGTCTAAGTCCCAGTCTACAATAGATGATTTAAGCCCTAAGCTTTAAGAAATTGGCCAATCACGGTCAAGTATGAGTAGAATGCGCGACTGTGATTAGTCAATTTCTTAAGGCTTAGGGCTTAAATCTCTATTGTAGACTGGGACTTAAGAAATTGACTAATCACAGTCGCGTATTCTACTCGTACTTGACCGTGATTGATCAATTTCTTAAAGCTTAGGGCTTAAATCCTCTATTGTAGACTGGGACTTAAGCCCGCTGCAGACGATGCTATTTTTCCTGCTGGATTGCTTGCGATTTAGTAAATTATTATCGTTGCACCACTCAGCATTCAGGATTCCTAGTAATTTACTAAATTGCAAGCAATCCAGCAGGAAAAATAGCATCGTCTGCAGCGGGCTTTACTCTGATTGGTTAAATTTCAATCTAATCCCAATCTCAATCCGTAGTCTGATACGGGCTTTAGCTTTAATATGATTGGCTGGATCTAAAAGTATTAACCAGTCATACTGAGCGCTCACCCAATAGTTGTGTCTGCTGAACACGGCCATTGCGCTTCACCTTGTATCTTTATTGGCTCCTGCCCACTGGACGAGGTAACGTTGCCGCGTCCAGTGGGCAGGCGCCATTACACCATGATCGCCGCCTTCTGCGCGAGTATCGTATCGCGAGCGTCAAGAGTTTGCCGCTCAGCTCGGTTTTCCGGTACTGTTAGGTTACATCGGATTACACATTATTCGATCAATTGCGCGGCTCGATAGATTTCTGTGGATGTGTCGGGAAAACTAACATTTCTGCCTTCAAGCAACGATAAGTAAGGCCAGTAGCCAAGAATACTTGACGAAGAAATATAGACGTAAGTACCGTCCCAATACCGATCTGCTAAACGTTTCTATCCGCGCATTTGCAAAACTTACACGGATAATTGATGTTGCGATTAGAGAGATTTGAAAAAACCTAGAGTGCTAGAGAATTCTTTATTGTCTTTGGCTATTGTCACTTTTTTTTTCTTACTTTTCAGTTAAATTTATTGTTGATTAGATCGCACATCTTATGCTTATGAGTTCTCAACCAAGTGTCCCCAAACGCTTTGTCTATAGACAAAATTTGTCTCCAGACAAAATGCCAAAGGTACGGGTGTTTGCGCGCTCCGTTATAAATGTTCGTCCAGCCAATATGACGTTGAATTTGGAGTGCACAGAAGAGCCTCTGAGCGAAGCCCAGCAAACATACAGATCCAACCTCAAGGAGAACTATGATAAAGTAAATTCATTAAACAATCATTGTTTCTGGGTGCGTTCCGTTTTGTGCACGATGCTTATAATGTATCATTTGTCCTTGCTACTCACCGGATGTTAAATAAGGATAAATGAAACGGAACGCACCCTTTAATGACACGAATATGTATTATAGAACAATTTATTTGCTGCCACAGGTTGCAACTTTTATGGAAGAACTGGTTAAAGACCATGGTGGTAAAATGGTATGCCAATCGGGGAGCGTCAGTGGTTATCAGTATACGTTGTAAGTATCTAATTTTTAACTGAATTAGTAACGTCAAGATGTAACCACATAATTTCATATCCCCAGACCTACGACAGCAACGTCGACTCCAGGAGTAGTTTCGAACAATCCTCAGATTAATTTAAATGTGAGTATTTTAGTACAAACTTCATTGCAATGGAAAATAATAAACGACATTTCTATTTTTGTTTTGTATAGAATTTTACTTTCTAGTTAGATTTATTGTTGATTAAATCGCACATCTTGTGCTTGTGTGCTCTGTCATAAATGTTTGTCTGGCCAACATGACGTTGAATACTAATACTTTTGCTTTTTTTTTCGTTTAGAATCAACCAAACAAGACTTCAACACCAATCAAGTTGAATATCAATAACCCAAGTGGATCTCAAGGAAATATCCAGCTAGTAGCTGCTATTAACTCGCGTATGGGAGTCATTTTGGGACCTGTTACACAAACCCAAGGTAGCAAATTACTTGAGCCAACGGCACACGATTACTGTTTTTCCTACTGGATTGCTTACGAGAGCCAATCAGGATTTAGCTTCATGTTACGCCATCTAAAACTGCATCCTGATTAGCTCTCGTAAACGATCCAGTAGAAAAAAAGACTATTGTGTTCCCGTTGCTTTTATTAATTAGACTTGTGGTTTATCAGAGATTACTTAAATATGATTTTAGGGACTACTACCACAACCACATCTGTGGCTTCAACTGTGGCACAACCGCAACAAGAAAATGTATTGTCACTTCCATTTGTACTTTCCTCATTGAAAGCAAATTGTTAATTACACATTAATATTTCTTACTTTAAACATATTAAGTGTAATAAACTACTTTTTCAGTATAAGTACACCAGATCTGGACGTAGGACAAAAGTTCTTCAAGTGCAACAACCTGATATTATAGAAGAGGTATAGGTTTTACAAATATAAGTTGCAAAGCTATTGTGTGATTAACAACAAGTACATATACAACATTTTATTTCTACAGCCTGCACCTACAGTTCGTGTGAAACCACCAAAGCCTGGACCAACGCATGTGACATCAAGTAAGGGTAATCATATAATTTATATTCTATTCCATGGAGAGAATGAATGAAAAGAGAGCTAAGACCGACAATTAATGTAGGCCCCTCAGCTACTACCACGTCTCAAGGTATGACGAATATCAGGGTAAAGACTGTCGCTAAACAGACAGCGAATCAACCAGCTGTTAAACCTACAGAACACACTAGTATAGGTGGAATAGCCATCGGCAGCAAAAGTTCAGGTGAAAGTCGGAGAATATAATTATTTTAAGAGTGTTAATATCTTTTGGATAATTTGTTTTACTTATTTTACTTTACAAAATCTTCTATAGCCAGCGAACAAATTGAGGAAGCCAAAAAGAACCAGCCTGATAACAGAGAATTCACATTTAACAAAACAACTGGCGGCCGAACCTTCCCCTCTTTGGTAGTGGTAGCAAGACCAAATTTATGTAACAAAGAAGTTACATCGCAAATTTCACAAAAAGAAAGACAATCATTAGGTATCTTTTTTTTTTACTTTCATTACCACTGTGTAACGATGCGCGTTAAATGCATATTAAAAATCAAAGTATTTTTCAGATGCCAAAGTTAAGAACGTACTCATGTTTTCTGCTACAAAATTCGCCGAATGGTTGATACAACAGGGCCTGGTAAAATCGGAACAATACTGCTTGCAGCACAATTTGAACTATCAGAAACCTAAACTCAAGTTAGGAATGTACAGCGATCAGGGAACATTTCCCTATTCCGGTGGTTACGTCTGGATATCCAGTTGTTGTCCGGACAGATTTGTCTCCGTCTTCTCCGGTTCTATTTTCCAAGGAGCTCATTACACACCCACAATCTTGTTGAAATTAATTTACCACTGGGCTTGTCAAACTAACGTGCAAAATGTAATCTCCTGGGTGAAAGTAACCAATATATACCTAAAAAATTTTTATACAAACCTGCGTAGCATTTGCACAGCAGCAGTATGGGATAAAAGTCGTAAGATGGGCGGTAAAAATTCAGTAATACAAGTCGGTGTGATTAGTTTGGGCACCACATCGCAAGATGGACATTTGCGACAGGTGAGACGTCTTGATATTCTTGTTTCGTTAGGAAAGAGGCTTGCGTAACGACTTGGACTCTTGGCATTTAGGTGAAAGTCGAGGTTCTCGGCGTTCTAGATCCTTCCACACATGACCTACGATTGTGCGCCTGTGAACCAATGCAAGATGAGGAAAAATCATTTAAAAGGCGATTTAATAATATTCTACACCCTTTGAAAGAATGGGTTCATACAGACTCTAAAATAATGACCGACTTCACTGTCGACAAGAGCACCTTGCATGATATGGGCTATAACCATGTCATGCAGTCTGCATTTTTAGACCAGAACCCTAGAAGTATCATGAGCAATTACCATATCATGGAATACCTTAGAAAAATCGTGCCAAGAATGTTCCAGAACACTTTAAGTTTGCTTAGTAGACAAATGATACAACAATTCTTGGACGAATTAATATGGAGAGAGATATACGGCGGTACAGCGGAACGTGCGTTTGACAACATTATACGGCATATCGCGGAGCAAACTAAACTCGATTCCAGTGCGTAAAAAATATCACTGATCACTCACTGATAAGACTGTAACGGTTCTTAATTGTACGCGTACTTGGCCCTATATTATTCACGAAAAAGATTGTATATGTTTTCCAGATGAGTCTCTGCTAGATCGCCTATCGCAGATAGCTGTTAATCCATTTCAAGATTGGTCTTATTCCAATCCAAATAATACGTCATCGAAAGATTCAACTTCAGCAACTGATACTCCGGTATCATCCCAGAAGACGTCCGAGACAAAACTAGGTTCGCGCCGAGGAAGAAAGCGAATTCATCCTTTGACAACTCCGGAACATGAAATAAAAAAACCAGCGATTGATCCTAAAATTAATAAAGAAAAAGGAGATAAAAGCGAGAAAGAACCGAAAGAACAAATTCAGCTCCAAGAGTTATATTATGCTACGATGGAAGGTGATAAGAATCTGATCGTGAAAGAATCCAAGACTTCTTTACATTTCAAGGTTTGCACAAAGTTTTTATGCTGTCGCATCATCAGCGCGTTTCATTATGTTTGATATAATATTTCTTCCGGCTTAGTGTTTCCTCTGCACGACAATAATGAGATCTAATACCGAAGTGATGGAGCATATGGTTAGTCATGTACCACCGCAAGTACCGGGTCAATCGGAATTGTCAGTATGCCGATACTGTTGCACCCCGCTTTCGTCACAACATCAAATGCTCACTCATGTGTCAGAAACACACAGCAATTTTGGTAATTCTGACAGCGTCATGGTAGTTTGCGCTATTTGCGAGGAGAAATTTGGTAAGCTAACATTTTCAGGCCGATACTTATAATTCGTAATTAATAGCAAATTCGGTTGCTTGCGCTGGTATACACCGAGAGTGCACACTAAGACTTGTTTAAAGTCAATTCTTATATTAAGGGATTATTGTCTTAAATATCTCTTGAAATATTTCTTAGCCTGTAAAATAAGAGTCAGATATACATATAATGCGAATCACATTTGCACATGATTCTCGTACAGGAAAAAGTAAGTCGTTGATTGATCATTTGTCGTCGATGCATTCTCCTTCTGAGATGCCGTATCAATGTGAAAGTTGCGGCTATCGTACGTCCAGTCATAAGGACGTCATAGATCATTACTATAAAGTCCATGAAAAGGGTGAAGGATTGCAGTGCCCGTATTGTCTTAAAGTAAGGAAAGATAAATGTGCCGTGAGTGTACTTGTCATTCCTGTATCAATGTTGATTAATGCAACTTTCCTATTGCAACAAGGTAATACATTTTGTGAACGAGGGCAGTCCGAGCGCATCCAACGTTTACGCTTATTTATCGCACATGCAAAGGCACATCGTAAGAAGAGATCAAGGAAAGGGCAACAAATGTTCAAGATGCTGTCTCTGGTTCAACCAGAAGAGTTTCCTAACAGTACACCAACGAAAGTTACACTGTGGTTCTGATTCAAGTAAATATGCACTTAAACGTATAATTAGATATTTAAGAATATATAAAAAACTATTGACTCATGTTAAAAGACAATATTATCATTACTAATGAACCGATTAGCAAGAGCTAGCACAAAATTCATTGAAATGAAATTAATTGATTCAATTCAAACATCTACTTTGTGTCGACTGTATTATTCTTTTTGAATGTGCTCTCAATACGTTCGTATATATTATATATATATTGTGAAAATTTACAATTTCTAACGTCTAATAAAAAATATCTATATATCTATAGAAGCAGTACCATATTCTGCCGGCAACAGTGGTATAATGATTTCGAAAGACATACCGGAGACAATACGGTTTTCTGTAGATAGTCCACAACCCGAATTACCACCAGATGAAAAAATACAAAAATGGAGTACCGGATCAATTGTGGTAAACACCTCCGTCAGATATCTATCCTGCCAGGAATGTGAGGAAGATATTGACGAAGATGAACATTATCCGTAAGTTATACCGTTTGTAAATTCTCGTTAATCTTATCACTAGTAATATAGTAACAGTAAATTCTTTAATGCACAGAGGTGAGCAACGATGTCAACAGTGCCGTTACATTACATGTTGTTGGCGCGCATTCCAAGAGCATCAGCAACAAATCCATAATGAAAGACCGAAGACCGGTCTGATTGTGCCATCTCCTTTAGTTAACATCTCGCTAGACAAGAAACTGCAATGCCCCTGCGGTTACACATCGATCGATGGCAACCGATTAGGTATCACAGCTGTAAAGGTCGTAACATTTCGTATTGTGAGCATAAAGCTTAATTTCAATTGACATCATATTGCAGCGATACACTTGATGAAGTGTAAAAAAATGTCAGCACATCCTGTTGAAGAATCGGCGCCATCTGGTATGCTCGATAGTTTGGGATTAGTTCCGAGAACCGCATCTGAGGTACGAAACATTTTGATATTTTTTATTTTTGTCTATCTAATTCCTGAAATTGTTTATAGGAATCTGATGCGCACGAAAAATCCACTTCACACAATTAGATGCAATAAAAACAAAAAATGTAATTGCTATTGTGATTAATGACATAGTTTTTTATTTCTATTTATATATATTTATATAAGTAGAAATAAAATTATTAATATACAGTATATAATCTTACGTTACTTATGACTTTTTTTAACAAGAGCAAATATTAAAGCTTGAATCTTTTCGGTTCTGTAGCATCGAGAACAAATTTGATTTTATATATCAATAAAAAGTAGAAACATAATATGCTACACATTAATTTTTATTTTTTTGTTTTAAAAATATCAGATATTGAAATATGTATTATTCATTTAAATTAAACAAGACAACATTGTTTCGAGACATGTATTATATATTGATACTAATAAAATTATATACTATGTAAAATTCTAACACCTGCGACAATATTTGTTGCGTTTAAATATTAAAGCTTGAATCTTTTCGGTTCTGTAGCATCGAGAACAAATTTGATTTTATATATCAATAAAAAGTAGAAACATAATGCTACACATTAATTTTTATTTTTTTGTTTTAAAAATATCAGATATTGAATTATGTATTATTCATTTAAATTAAACAAGACAACATTGTTTCGAGACATGTATTATATATTGATACTAATAAAATTATATACTATGTCAAATTTTAACACCTGCGACAATATTTGTTGCGTTTAAAAATTATAAGACAAATAACAATGTATAAAACATGTCCTATACTCATTTATGACTTCTAATTCTATTCACGTTAAAAGGCTATATAATTGTAATACCTAATAAAAAAAAAGTGCTAAATATATATATATATAAAGGCATACATTTTGTGTTACAAGTTTTTGTATTAAATAAAAGCACTTGCAAATACTGCATTTTATTTTTGTTACTCAAGTCTGACATTTAGTGGAATAAATCTTCACTGTAAAGGGTGTAGCCGAATAAGGTAAGCAAATCTGCCAATTTGGATCTGATACATACGGGGGCAGGTGTGCCTACCTTATTCGGCTATATCCTTTGGTAAGTATAAAGTAATAATAAGTAACATAGTGGGTTTTATTAAATGTTTATTTAGCAATTATGTTTTCATGTATGAATAAGAAACGTAGCATACATATTCACTTTTTATATGTGTGTTGTGTGTATTTGTTTATATGTATGTGTATGTATGGTCAGAGACAATATATAATACTAACTGACAGGTTAAAATGCATGAAATTGTTCAATTCAAAAATTTGAGGCAAATTGATAATTATTTGCGTGAAGTTAACATACAATAGTCCGTCACTCTGTACTTATCTTTATCTATATTCCTAATCTAATTAACATTTTTTTGTTGGCTTTTCTAATATTTTTCATTTTTTTTGTATTTTTACTTATTTTTCATGTCTGTTATCAAGTCAACACTAAAGAACGCATTTATTAGCAAGATCTCTTCAATGTTAACTGATTGGGAATTACCAGATATACTATTACTTAAATATACTATCACCCCTAAGAATATGCTATAAAAAAAGATATAGGACTTATAACGATATAAGTAAGATTTTTAATAATTCAGTACCTTTAAGTTTTGCATTTAAAGAAAATATGTGTTAAACGTCTTATTTCTCATGTCCGATTAGCAACGTAATGTAATGTTCGTGATATTTCTCATTCTTAGTCAAATTTGCAAAGCCCATTTATACGATAGCAAGCGCTATCCTAAGTTAACCAGTATTTAATTTATTTGAACATATATTCCGGAAATAGAATTTTTTTTACAAAAATTGGACTCTACAAAAAGTCAATTCAGATACCGGAAATTTGTTATGTTTTTACTTGATGCTTACGAAATTTCTTTTTACTTCGTAAACAGGAACGTGGATTTTTCACGAAACTACAGAGAAAAAAATTGCACATTTAATAAAGAATATCAGTCAATTAATCGTAAATAATCATAAAATAGTCGTTTTTGGATGACAAACACACTGTAGCGACCCAAACTCAATTTTACTGGGTACTCGCATAACAAATATTAAAAATCTAGATTATACATATCGATAATACTTAAAAATAAGCAAATACACTTATACATATATTACGGAGAATAACGCGGTGATACCCAATCTGCCACAATTAACATTGAGATATATCGATAATAAATTTTCTCTAAAATTTGACAGTTGGTCGCCGTGTTCAGTTGTTGATGCGCGACTACAAATTCCGTCAAATTTTTTCACGTGGGAAGCTTTGTCAGCAGCTTATATACTCTTGTAAGAGTTATTAACATTGTGTTCAAGAGAATGAATCGATATACCCATCGAAAGCCTTTTATGTACGCGTTCTACATATTCGCGACTATAATTTTTAATTTTTTTTTTTCATCAAGCCTCTTCAATTTAACGCCAAGGTTCTTCTGCAATCGATATAAATCCTTGCAAAAAATGGACGAATTTTCCAATGTGCAACTGATAAGAGAAATAATACTTTATACGGCAAATGTTAAAACATAAAAGAAAAATATACATGTTTCCCAGAATTTTCCAATTGTCCCTCTTTTCGGAATTTTACCTCAGACTCGATTACGGTAGTACCTGTAATAAGATACAACGAAAATAAATGTAACGGAAAGAGAAATAGAAATAATTAGATCTGAAATCATATACACTCATGAGAAAGTGGTTAGCGAACGAAAAGCAAGATTAAGTAATCAATTAGTATAAAGAAAATCGCAGAACCGAGAAGCACTCGAGTGTCTCTTCTGCCGAATCAATACCTGCGCGTTAAATTTGAGAGAGGCAGAACCGCTTGCCGATTACTCGATGGCATAGAGCATGTAGAGATTGCCAGCGTCACTGCCTGGCGGTACCAAGGCATGAGTTGGCGGCAGGACCGTGAAACCCAAGAACATGAAGGTACGAACCAGCATTGCTAGACCATAACAACAGAACGATTTAGACGGTGAGTCCTTCTCGCCGACGCAAAAGTCTTGGGCGTTCGTGCCGAAGAACGGCAAGCGACAAGTACCTCGGTCTGATCTATCTTTGCGAAGGCAGACAATGATATTGGTGCAGCGCAGTGTTTCCTCGGCGTATTCTAGGAGCGAAACAAAACCCTCTTTTGATCCTTCGGGCAGAAGGCAGCTTGGTACGCGAATGTATAGACAGCGGCGCCATGCTACGGTCTCCCACTCGACGGACGTACTCTCGGTCAAGTGAAGAGTGAACGTTAGACGCAATGGTTCGTTGCTTCTCACAGCTTTCAACAATTCATCCTCCTGTACGTCGGTGGACAAAAGGAAAATGCGGAGAATTAGAATTTGGCTCTCGTCCATCGGGGGAGCATACGTTATTTCGTGTTTGCAGCCGTGTAACTAAGTTATCGTTTCTCCTCTTTGACGATCCCCTTTAAGCGCGGAAAATACGTACTTGCACAATGTGGGAGCTCACAGAGAGCTGACTCTGCTTGATCCCCACGCCGCGGCTCTCTGTGTTGACTGTAGATACAGACAATGCGGCATGGGGCACATCAGGACCACCACAGAGGCCCCACGCCCAGCGTTATACAGTAATGCTGTTGCAGCCTGGAGCCTTCCTCTAAGCTCTCGTCCATGCATTTACTAGACATTTCACTGCAAAGTATGAATTTTCATTATTACATGCAAATCCCAAATCTCGTATCAATAATGCAACATTGAAAGAGACTGTATCATTCTTTTGATAAATAACAATGCTTTCTTATCTTATAAGTGTAGAAGGATGTGCGCAAGCATGATTCGGGATTACGATGAAGGAAAAAAAAAGGATGATGACAAATTATTAAAATATCGATCCGCAAATGTCTGTTTTCTTCTTTCCAACGAATGTAAGAACGTCACGAAATAAGGTGTTGTTCTTTAAAGAGAGGCTGACGTGTTTGAAACATAAACACAGTGGGTACTGCCAAGAATCTTGAGACTCTTGATGGAATGCTTATGTAAGTTCCCCTCCAACCAAGGATAATCGGCTTATCGCTGGGACCAGATATAGAGGTCCCCTATTATGAGATAGAATCCTAATATGTGATAGCGGGCTTTCTGCTGAATTAACAGGCGTCATCGGCTGATTCCACCATGAATCCATTGCCCTCGGAGCGAAATTTCCGTTTAGTGGCAAAATGCATCGTTGGATCGTGTGATCGTTGCGAGAAAAGATTTGCGATTGAATTTGGGTGTTGAAAATCCGCTATCTCATGTTAGAAACCTAATCTCATAACAGAGGACTTCCCACTACTGTATCGCGGGTCGCGGCATTTTATCTTATTAAATATTTATGAACAACAGGTGATCGAAATACACAATCAGCGGATGCCGTCGTCATCGAGTATCATTGATAACACGCCGTTCCCGACTCGAGAATGCGCGTGTGGAAAAAAAAAATAGAAGAAGGAAACAGATAAGATACCTTGGCACTTGAGCGAGGGGTGTTGCGAACCGCGGGGCGGGGGGGGGGAGGGAGGGGAGGTTCGCTGATGATAATCCGACGTCGCGTCTACCGCGGGTCAAGCCGTCCGGAGAAAACCGGAGCGGAATCCACGGTTAAAGGGAAAACGAGCGACTGCCGCACGGAGCAACCGGCGCGCGCGATTTATTAAAGGCATAAGCGGCCACATATCGTCGACGTCATTTAAACGGGCGTCCCGCCAAACAAACAATGCGTGTTTCGCGGCGAGAAATGTGCGCGACCGGTCGGCCCGCTCATATTATACATCCACAACGCTTTTTGGCGCCGCACGCTCCGCGGCACGCTAAGTGCTTCTGCCTTTCGCCTTGACATTAGGAAATATCGGGCTTACGTAAAGCGTGTAAATGTGTACCTGCTGCAACACTTTGTAAATGAGATTAAATTGTTCGGTGCGCAATTTGTATAAATAATTTGCCGCTTACGCGCGCATGCACGTGTCGCGGCAAGTAAGACGACTGGCCCGCGTGTAAAAGTAACAATCGAGTCTCCTATTGTGAGATAGGCTCCTAATATAAGATAGCAGGATTTCCACTAAATTGCTAGACATCATCTTGGTCCCGCCATGAATTCATTGGCCTTACAGCGAAACCTGCCCAGTGGAAAGTTCATTGTTGGATGCTGAAAACATCTGCACGGAGAGAATTTTCTTTTAAAATTTCTCCTGAAAATTATGTAATCGTGGGACACGGCATTTCGAAGAATTTTGTAAGTTTTCTTTAAATTTTACCATACATTTTTTACTAGCAATTATACGTTACAATTAGTATACATTTTTATAAGTAAAATGTATGGTAAAATTAAAAAAAAACATTTCGAAAAGTTTTTCAAAATGCCATGTTGCTCCGCGATTACATGATTTTCACGGTAAATTTTAAGAGAAAATTCTCTCCGCGTGCTATCTCATATTAAAAGCCTGCCCCATAATAGAGGAGTTTCCTCTACACTGAAAAAAATTTCTGGTTGAATATGGACGAATCAGATAATTCCTTTAGGATTTACCAGAATTTCTGTAGGATTACAGGAATTCTGGTAAATCCTAAAGGAATTCTGCATGGTAAATCCTAAAGGAATTATCTGATTCGTCCATATTCAACCAGAAATTTTTTTCAGTGTACTAATGAGGGTTTTACATCTCGTTGTCAGTCATAACATATTATCACGTTGCGCAATGGCGTAAGAATATTAATGCGATCAGTATCGCATCTTGTATTTTGGACAACGACAATCCGCGATAAATTATCGCAACGCGCGCGCGAGAGAGACAGAGCGTTTCGATGTGCTATCGTTACTTAAAATATCGTCCTCGCGTCGATACTTAGAATATTGATTTGAATCACGTAGTGTCACGGCTTGGGCGAGATTACAAAGATCCATATTGATGGCTGATAACGTTCTCGTTCGCGATCGATCTCAATTAATCAATCAATCGCGCGCAGATTTGACTAACAAACGGGGATTCCCCGTTCGCATTACGTGTCCTATCTTCGTAAAAACAATTTTGGCTATAAACATTTTAATAACAAGACTCGAGCGAGTGTTTCACGATATTCCGTACGAGCGCCGATCTAAGAATAACGCAACGACCAATTTCACAGAGCCTACGATTATAATTAGTGTCGGGCGTATATCGGAGCCTCTCCAGCGGAAATCGGGGATACTATTGGCGGATTCCAAGTTCAAATGTTATCGATACGCGGAACGTGACAATAGGTCATCTATTTACGTTGAAACGTTTAATATAACGCGATAATGCTCGACGTTGCGATACGTCAGAACGTAATGAGAGACCTGTTCTTCGGTTTCTGCGATAACTAATTGGAAAAAGGAGACGCGCGCCCGTACGCGTAAGGGGAGTCTCTCCGCGAAAGAGACACGGCTGAGAGGCCAGAATAATTCTGGACTAATTGGCCCTCCGCGCACCGACGACCTTGCGCGTTCCCGCGTGGCACGGGCTCCGCCTCGTGTTTTATTAACCGTTCTGAAAGCTTCTCGGAACCAATTGGCAAATTTAATTAGAGACGTACAGGCCTCCGCGGGCCGCGTCGTCCAATTGTATTCTTCCACGGGATAAAGTGTTTTCGACGCGACCACGTTATCACTCGCAATCAGCCGTTTAGCGACTCGCCTTGAAACGGACACGTCCGACGAAAGGAGAAACCTCGCGACACGTTACCCGAAGACGCTTGCGTTCGCGTTTATATTGGCACATTATTTCAAACTGAGCGACTTGGAATTTAATTATAAGTCGAAAGGTAAAGGGCAAGATAGAAGATAGATGTGAATATTTCCAAGTTCACGTGGCTCGTTGCTTGTCACTCAATACATATAAAGCCCATCCACAATGTGTTCTTCGCGTCTACGCGGAGAGAATTTTCCCCTGAAAATCATATAATCGTGGGACAACATGGCATTTGGAAGAACTTTGATGAGTTTTTGGAAATTTTACCATACACTTTACTAGTAAAATGTGTACTAATTGTAAGTATAATTACTAGAGTGTACAATTTCAAAAATCTCTCGTAAAAATCTTCGAAATGCCATATCGTCCCACGATTACATGATTTTCAGGGTAAATTTTAAATGCAAATTCTCTCCGCGTAGAAACATTCTGTTTTGTAGCCAATAAATACATTTAAAAAATTTGTTCATGTATTATCGACAAATTTTTTAAGCGTATTGATTTGCTTATACAAAACAGAATGTTTCTAATCGCAAAGAGCACATTGTAGGCTGCTGCTGCACAAGTGAAAAGCGACTCGTCCTTTAATTGCGATCTAACAACTGTAAAATCTAGTCTGCGCAACTAATGTAACTATACAAAGGATATGCAGGAAATAACTGACGTTAATTACGTGTGCGTAGCAACAGAATGTGCTGTTACAATAATAGAAAGTAACCAGATAATGATTAACAGTTGAACGGAACATTTTCCTTATCACGTGGAACGATGATAACGCAGCTAAGAATAGATCTCGGTTCTCGCTGTACGATCGATTAGGGATTTGTATTAAAAACGTAAAATCTAACGAGTGACATCGCGAAAGAGAGAATCCACTACACTTTTAATTGCGCTGAATAATTTTTCAACGAGGGCGGAAGAACGAGCGAATATAAAAATAGCGTGTCACTCTCGATTTACCTCATTTATTCGTTTTATTTCTACGTGGAAAAATTATTAAAGCCTCTTTTGAAAATTACGAATGCACGAACTTGACACGATGCCAGATACAATAATAATTGATTGACGGCAAAATGCAGAAAGCTGTGAGAGACAGAGGTTTATCCGTTGTTTGTTCGCATATCGCCGCGTATATGTCGGGTATCACCAGCGAGCGAAAGGACTCGTCGCGAGTTGCCCTCATCATTCGTTTCAATCGCTATCGCCTGATTTAGTACGATCGTTAATAAATTCTCCCAGCTGGCAGAATCACGTTTCGCTCGTGAAAGATGTAACCGTGAGATTAAGCGCGGCATTGCTGGCCGCATATCGATTGACCTAGGCACGAGGCAACCTGACCCGCTGTAAAAGAAAGCACAAAGCCAATGTCGCTGCTCTAACGGCGCATTGCCCGTTTCACGCCAAGTGAGCACGGTCTTACGATAAATTTCAATTTAGTTTACACCGAGGGGGAAACCGCCGAGGGCATTCTAGTGTACAGATTTGCGGCGTTACTGGGCGCTACTAGGTATTTTTTGGGGGCATTTAATTTGGGCGCATTAGGTCTTGCTGGGGCATTATAAAGATAAAATAAGATTAAGTAATGCCCACCGGGCATTAGTGGGCGTTGGTGTACAAGATTTTCGTCAGCGGTTTCCACCTCGAATTACACTAGAGAGAGTCACGGACATATGTTGACCAACCCAGTTATTTTCCTCGTCGACGGCACAGATCCCTCTTATCGCGGAACGACTTAGTTCGTCAGGCGATTGTGTGAACGTTCTTATAGTTTTCTCTCTCTCGAAATTTTCAAGGCTCTTCCCGCAATTTGCGCAGAAACGATCGCGTAATCGCGCCTTGCTCCACATGCGGAATGCTTGGCTCTCGTACGGGGAGAGAC